CATTGCCTAGAAAGAAAACTCAGAACCAACCTAGGAAGATGAAAAGCACGGTTATAACTGACACGCCTGAGAAGGACGCATTAATTGAAAAACATTTTGCTAAAAAAAAAATTCAAAAAAGGAAGCAAAAGATGAAAACTTCCAAAAACATGAAAAAGCTAATACAGACATTTTCGGAGTCGTCAGATTCCGATTTTTCACTCCGAGAATCAGATGATTCGGATATTACGTCTGATGGCTCTACATATAATCTATCATCTTCATCTACATCTAAGGCTAAGAGAAAATGCAAGGCGAAAAGCACCGCAAAAAAAAGCAACAAAAATGATGACTATTGCACTGTTTGTAATGGGGCTTATTTATGCAGCAGTGTCGACTGGTTAATGTGTACTATTTGTAAGAAATGGGCACACGAGACATGTGGTCTGAAGGGTATGAACAATTATTTTTGTAATAATTGCAATTAATACTCCAACTTGGTAACGGGAAGACTGATTACTTTTAATGTATGGGTATAAAATTATAGGATATAAGTAAACAGTTTATGATTTTTAGTTAGTCCTAATATTATTAAGGAATATTTTTGATACCTACTTATATTGTTTTACCATAATGAAGCCAGGATCTCATTTTTGTTAGAAGATTAAGAAGAGTCTAATTATTTAATGTCGTTTTTTTTGTAAATGTTAAATTTTTTGATCTCATTTTGTTTTGTACCAAAGTGTTTGATTTGTTTAAATAAGGGTTATAATGTAAAATAAAATAATTTGTGAAACCTTGCGTATTTATATAGCAAAAAGTATAACATTGGTTCCTAGTCCGTTTCAAGACACCCTTTGTCCTGTTCAATGCTTCTGTGTCATGAAACGGACAATTAGCGAGTTAAAAAAAAACCTAAAATATTTCTTAAAATAAATTTCATTTTCATAAAAGATGTTGTATTACTAATACTATAATACCTCCGAATTTTTTAAGGACAGATAACGAGTTTCTAAGATTTTAATTACAGTATCTAATAATACTCCAAAGTTAAACGTCCGTTTCATTGCGTATCTCCCCTAATGGCTGACATGAAGAAATCACTGGACGAACTCAAACTTGGAGATGGAGCTACAGCTCCCGTAGTAGCTACAACACCTTCGCTACGTGGGTTCAAGGTGCCACCGTTCGACGGTACCTCTTCCTGGTCAGCCTACAAAATACAGTTCGAGGCTGTTATGAAGGCGAACAGCTGGAATAAAAGTCAGGCTATGACTGCTCTCACACTAGGCCTGCACGACCAGGCCTTAACAGTTCTGAAAGCTCTCGGTGAGGAAGTGACTTATGAGCAACTCCTTGAGGCATTGGAGGCGAGATATGGCGACGCTCACCTGGAACACGTCTTTCGGGCGCAGCTTAAAGATCGCGTGCAGCGCATCAATAAAAACCTGGCCTAAATAAATGGCCTATGCTTGTCATAGGGCTGTTAAATAGGTAATAACTAGGAGTAGGTACTGGTGAGCCCCATGAATTACGGGGCCCTGGGTTTGCCCATTGCGCCCATCTGCAAATCTGGGCCTGCCTAGATCTCCAAGTCGACCATCAAAGAAAATTTTCCGTCATAATAATATAATTGGTTGTGTTGCTTGTGTTATTCCGTCCTTTGTGTTTATTCTGCTAGAACGAGCAAATATATTATTCTGCAGCTGACCAGTGTAAAATCGTGATTAGCAGTCGCGCATTATTAATTGCAGGTTATTAACAGGAAGAAAACATCGTAACGAACCAGGGTAGGGTTCTATAATTAATAAAATCAAATCAAAACCTAAGCATACCACTGCAAGACTTGAAGGTACTGAAAACTCATCCTGGGTGGATCGTATCAAAAGTTAAAAAGTTAATACTCTAAAACCATGACACCGGGACGTCAAACGCCGGAAACGTCGGGAATTAAAAAAGTCAACATTGAATGCGATAAAATCGGTACAATTAGTTTCATTTAACTCACAAATATATTTTGATATTTTAATAACCAGTGATAATATAATTTTAATACCGGATTAGTAAGCTGAAGTGGCAATGGGCCGGCCATATGGCTAATAAATTGAAAAAAAAAAACCAACATCTCTTATGAATGTGTACCATAACAGTAAGTCTTAAATGATTATACCAGCCAATTATAGGTCCCCTGCACACGTTTTGTTTTCCTTCATTCAAATAATATACATGTTATAATAATAATTCCTTTCAATGTATGACATTTATGTTCAATCAGTGTACTATGTCTGAAAATATTTAGGAAAAACTTTTAAAAATTATACTTAAAACTTTCGTTGTTAGTAATCGGGTTAAACTTTGTTTAATAATCGGAGCGCGTTAGTGCTAATAAGCTTCATATTATATAAAAAACGTCTGTTCGTTAACCTTATTAAATACAGAACTTCGCTGACGTAAATATTACTTACTAATTTTGCCACTACAAGTAACACAGAACATAGCGCAGTTGAAGAGTACGAGACACCACGCTGAGCGTCGTTTTTATTTTCTTTTTTTAAACAATTTTGTCATTAAATCATCGCAAACTTAGAATGTGCTGGGTGCCGTAACGTACTGGATAACCGTGTCACTGCAGTGTCACCTATGCAATGACAAATATCATGTTGCATGCACGCGAATTACAATGCAAAGTTTCAATATGATGAGCGCAGAAAAGAATAGTTTATGGATATGTGATATATGAAGGTGTAAACAACCAAGTGGAGATCATTCTAACACTCCAGTTTGAAACTCACCGGTGGAAATGGATTTCATAACTTAGCGTATAAAAGTCGTTGTACTTGCTCTTCTTTATCCGCAAGTAATGTACAAGAAATAATTAGAGAGAAATTGCGAAAAATTTACAGTAACGATTAACACCCTAAAATTCATGAAATGAAAAGAGTGTGGTTTGAAAGATGATGCAGTGACCAGGATTAAGAAAGCAATGCTTCGGTGGTTTGGTCATGTAGAAAGAATGAATGCGGAAAGACTGACAAAGCAAATATATGTTGCGGAAGTGAATGGAAGAGTCGGAAAAGGAAGTCCTAGGCGGAAGTTTGTCGACCAAATTGGTGATATACTAAAAATGGGCCAAATTAAGAGTACCCTTAACCGACGCCGATAGGCCTGAGTGTTTATGTTTATGTAAAAAATACACTCCTCATTTGAAACTTATCTATCGTCATTAAACCCATATATAGATAAAGTTAAGTCTGATTACGCTAACTAATTTGTACAAATGCAACACATTATCAAGGAGCACGAAACATTGCGTGCAGCTGGCATCATAACTCGTCTTACGCAACTTGAACAGCAAACACGAGCTTCAGATATCGAAATTCAATGTTTTCTAGAGAACAGACAGAAAAATTTAGTCAACACAGTACAACAACTGGATAAACTTATAAAATGTCCGATAGTCCCAGAAAATACACATTTTTGTGCAAGACTAGCGAAGATCAATATTAAAAGACCTCGACCGAGATCAATATTAGTAAAGTTCGGTAGTCCAAGTAAAAAAAAATAGAACCGATAAGCTTAAGATATTGCTTGTAGTGACGTGCAAGAATACTTATTAACCCATATCTTCTCGTGGATGTCGTAAAAGGCGACAGAGGGAAACTGAGGTCGCCAAGCGTGGTAACTATATCAATATACCCCCATGATGAGAGTTTCAAGAGATGGCCACCCGGCCACAGCGGCCCCGTTTTTAACTACTGGTTGCGGCGGCGGCCATGGTTACGGCGTGGCAGGGAATGATAAGAATTTCCGATGGAGGTTCGGTTGCCATCTCAGGCGACTTGACCCAGCAGTATACCCTGAGGACTGACTGACTGATCCTGGAGCTGGAAGAAGAGATAGACAAGTTACGTTACAATATTATAGAATTATCTAAGGTCAGCTTGTTCTATCACTAGTTTCACTCTTTGTTAGCTTTCAGGGTCGCAAACAGTGTGTAAAAACTAATAAATGTTAGTGAAGAGGCTTAAATATTGGAGATCCACAAGGTAGTGTTCTTGGTCCAACGCTGTTTTTGATATATATTGAAAATGGAACTTGATCGTGGGTGCATATTTTTATGCGGACGACACTGTTGCGTCATTACAGGTGAAACGTGAGATATTGTACGCATTATTACAGAACAAGATCTTGCTAAAATTGCTAGATGAATAAACCTACATCTCCTATCACCGAATACCTTAAAACATACGACATATGTTTTTATATTTATAATAATACTCAACCTGATACAAACTTTCAAAAAATAAAAAATAAATGTAGTAGTTAGTTACGGATAAAATCTGAAAGCTCATATGCATATTCGAATCACTGTGATACATTGTCAATAAGCGCCTTTATATAATTCAATAATACAACCTATAATTTTGTATTGTATATATATACGTACATATTCTACCGTGTGTTAGCACTATAAAAGTCCATACTACTATCCCCCACTTCGCAAAGAAGGAAGCTTACGGCACATCAGCACAATAGAAAAATACATATTGGTGTGGTGTACAGATATCAATTGCTACATGATAAATTAAAGACGTGAAAATTGCTAGGCGTTCGTGTTGTAAACTTAGCCAGTAATATAAAACAATAATGAAGCCATACAAAACACTAGTCGACAAAATATCATAATCACATCTTGGAAGATGCTAAAATGGTTTTTTATATGTACTCAAATACTATATATTGAATGTAGTTTAATTTGGACGGTACCCAAGTGGCTATGGTTGTTACAAATCACTTGAAACAAAATAAGTTAAAAATAAATACCAAAAGCGACGTAACATAAAGTTAATTAAATTAAAATATATAAATAGAAGATTTCAGAGTATCAGGTAGTGATTTTTAAAAAAATGCTTAAGATGAGCATTAAGTTAGTTATGACATATCCCCTTTGCATTGTAGATATAACCTCAAATAAGTATTACACTGTCCTGTTACTCATCGTCTATTTATTATCTTTATAGGCAGCTGACATTGAACCAACGTGGGATGGAGTTTTTAATGCTATAAACGAGAATGTACTATGTCCACAAAGAAAAGGCAACAAGTTTGTAATTGGTCAAGAAAATTGTTTAACTCTAAATATTTATACGCCAGTCGATACGACATCTTCGTCACAATTACCAGTCATGGTGTATATACATGGCGGTGGTTTCTACGATGGTTCTGGCTCAAGACACATTTATGGACCTGTGTATTTAGTATCTAAAGGAGTTATATTAGTTACTATTAACTATAGATTAAATATTCAAGGCTTCGCATGTCTGGGAATTAAGGAAGCCCCGGGTAATATTGGTTTAAAAGATCAAGTTGCTGCGTTGAAGTGGATAAAAAAAAATATAAAGGCGTTTGGTGGTGATATGGATAATGTAACAATATTTGGAGAGAGTGCCGGGTCTGCTTCCGTGTCTTTCCATGTTCTATCACCGATGTCTAAAGAATACTTTCAGAAGGCAATACTTCAAAGCGGGTCGTCACTTTCACCTTGGGCGATGCAGTATAGACCAGTTTATATGGCGAGTCTACTAGCAAAAGCGATGGGTTACAATACAGAAAACGCCCGTGAAATTTATAATATATTTATGAATAAGTCAGATGCAGAGCTGATAGTTACAAGAGTACCAAGAAAGGAAGGCAATGTTATTATTTCTGAAATCCTCTATGTGCCATGTGCAGAAGAAAAAATAGATGACGTGGAGCCGTTCTTGACAGACATACCATACAATATATTAACAAAGGGCGATTTCAATAAAGTTCCTATGATGATCGGATTGAACAGCGAAGAAGGATTTCTTTTTGCGTCATTAGAAAACGATACAACGATACCAAAGATTGAAATCGAGAAATCGTTGCCCAAAGATTTGACATTTCCAACTCACAGAGAAAGAAAAGACGTAGCAGCTAAGCTACAGAAGCTATATTTTGGAGATGAGAAAATTTCACAAGAAACGATACTGAACATAGCTAAGTTTCAGGGTGATGCTTACTTTAGTAGCTCAATTTTAGAAGAAACAGAATACATTCTTAGAAATAATGATAAGCCCATTTACAATTACATCTTTAATTACAATGGTCGGAGAAATTTCTTAAAGTTACATGCTGGTGAACCTTTCAAAAGTGCGCCTGGAGCAACGCATGCTGACGAATTGTTTTATTTGTTCAGCCAAGGGTTATTGCCTTCCTTGTTTGAGAGTAAAATGATCGATAAGATGACGACTTTATGGACAAATTTCGCTAAGTTTGGGTAAGAATTTTCAAGTAATATTTAAGTAGTAACTATCATAATTATTATTATGTTGTATGAATTATTCTCCCTCGTTCCATTAAACAGTATAATTAAAAAGTGGACACTGTCGAAGAACCAAATACTAATGTATTGACTAATAGTCCGTAAACACGCCTTGGAACAATGTGGCGGTCACAACCGTGACAGAAATGATAGAAGGCCCTGTGGGACGTATAAAAAGAGTAACCAGTTGTGAAACTCTCTCAGATGTACCAAAATAATGAAATCATTTATTAAATGCCATTCTTATTAACACATATTTTTACACGTGGTAGAGCTATGCTGCAGCTATACTCGTATTAGTGGTATAGTCGTAGCACCAATGGGTCGGCTCGACCGGTGAAGGACCACGCTCTCAAAGAATATCAACGTAAAATAATAGATTTCCCGCTGCTTTGTTTCATATGGTGAGTGTAGAGAACCGAAGACCCTTTTTACTGTAAGCGAGGCATTCCATCTTAGTCCTCACGGGTGACAATGCATCTGCCCTTTGATGCGTATTTGAGGATATATGTTGATGTCTATGGGCCACAGCAACCACTTACCATCAGGTGGACTGTGTGCTCATTAGTCACCCTATCCTATAAAAAAATCTTAAGGAGCAACCACTGATTAGTGACCACAAGTTCGATTTCCATGAGGATCAGTGGCGATCTTCTCGTTTACTTAACACATCGATAAGTAAGTAAGAAGCAGTCGAGTTTAAGGAGGCCTTTGATCGGTTTTTTGAAGAAAAAATTTCTTTCGAAGCTGCTGTCACTGAGCCAAATAACTTCCTCTTATGGGCTCTCGAGATATTATGCCATTAGTTCACCAGTTTTCTTGCTGATGGGAGCATTAATGACATAATATACTTTTTATGCTCCGACGCCAAGCCTATGAATGCTTGCATCCCACAAGGCAGTGTGCTATCGCCTGCCCTGTTTCTTCTGCATATCAATGATATGTTTCAACATTAATTGTTGCGTAGGTTAAAGGACTGGCGATGTTTTATACACCAGTTGTACTAATATTACTCAGGAGCACATCATTGTATAACAGAAAAAAACGTGTCTGAAGTCGAATATTTGTTAAGCAAAGTCGTGGATTGGAAACGACTAAAAGTAATCGAGTTTAACAGATAGAAGACACAGATTTGTGTGTTTACCACTTAAAAGAGCCCTTTGTCGTATTTTCTCGTACCCGTAAAAGTATCAGCACAATTAGACCCAAACATTTCCCGTAGCTATACTTCGCAAGCAGACGTCTAACATATTTGACGTCTGACGTAGACAATATAGTATACGAACCTATCTGAAGTCATGAGATCTTACTGTTATCTTACTACGATTTTACGATACTTTTGCGATGAAGCGTTTTAGTATATTATCTAAAATGGATGCAGGTGGTTCAGGACCGCTTTAAATATGGAATGACGTTCAGTTTCGCGAACACCTGGAAGGGACATCCAAATTCGCCTCTAAATAACTTGGTGTAAATCGGGACAGCATTTCATGCCGATACACTGCTTGCAAATTTACAGGGCCAGGGTATTGTGTGCCCAATGTCAGCCCCTTCCACTTAACCGCATCCAGCACAGAGGAGCTTGTATCATCGATGTCCAAGACTTTGGATCGGCTTGATATACTGTCGATAAATATATCTACAGTAAGTCAAGCCGATCAGAAGTCGGAGTAGACGCGATAGAATATGCAAAGAGATGCTGTTGCATCTACCACGGGGAGTGTTCAGAGAAATAGTTTGAAGTAATTACAGCCACTCAATTTCACAATTTCAACATCTCATTGGATGGTTGGCGATCCACTACAGTGCCGAGTGCAGATTTACCAGAAGTTTACTTCCTCGTACAACATTTTTGTGGGATCGACTAACAGCAGCTACTTTTACGAACCAATAAGGCTTAGATAACTTCAAGAAAAGAGCCTACTCTTTTTGAAAAACGCGCAAAGGACCTGAAAGTCCCAGTGTAACAGTTGCTCATAGGTAGCGGTAGTCAATTACCATCAGGTGAGCCGCTTACTCGCTTAGCCACTCTTATCTAAAACCCAAATGTTCTGTGTGTCGAATTACAGTATACGAGTATATGTGCAAGCATAGCATTTCTATTTCCTCACTGTCATAGTCCATTGAATTGGTAATCAGGTCCGACATGACCGAAGAGAGATTAGGGGCAGAACCAAAGGTTTCACGTGGCGAGGCCACTAAGTTAACTAGGTAGTCATGATGATAAACAATATGATTGTAATTTCAATAAAAGTTTCAAAGTAAAACCTATGACGTTACTTTATTACAGAGATCCAACTCCAGAGGTAACGGAGCTGTTACCGTTGAAGTGGTATCCCACTAACTCTACGTCACCTCATGCTATGGTTATCGATGAAGAGTTGAGCACTTCCCCCCTCTGGTACAGTGAGGCTTTAAGGTACTGGAAGCAGTTGTACAGCAAGTATAGAAGGAAGATTTGATATAATATTAAAGGCACACGGTTTGGTTGCGGAGTATTGACGACTGCACGCATCATCTCTGATAAGACATCCAGTGTTATGAAATGCGTTAGAGCCATGTTTAAGTACTATGTGATAACTTATCGGTACTGCATTACCACTATTTCACCTTCAGCAAATTTAGCGCTGTACTGCAGCCAGTAAGTAATGTAAGGCCCTCCTGTAACCGTATTGTTTTATAGGTATGGAAACGTTACAAGAGCTTGATAACGAATATTTGAACTATTCAATTTTTTAATTAAAAAATAATAAGAAAAATAATTGTGCATGTAAATGTGTAAACGGTTACGACGTGAAACTTTTTTTATGACATATTACTCTTCTTGTATTTTATATTTTAGTATTAAAGTTTAAGCAGGTTTAATAATAGGATACTCGTGCAGTCCCGGTGATGAAACGCTGCAAGAAAACGTAAAGGTTTTTTTAAAGTACTTTTCTAAATTGCTCCACAACATCGAGCCGTGGTAGCTCACAAGGTTAACGCTCGCTGTAAATATAACAGAACGCCAGTAACCCGGGTTCGATCCCCGCCGGCACCAATGAAATTGTTATTTGCAATTTTAAGTGCTGATTTACCACGTGCTCGGCGGTGAAGGAAAGATCGTGAGGAAACCTGCATGTATGAGGAATAAGAAAAAAAATATTTCGAAGACATGTGAAGTTCGCCAACACGTATTGGGGCAGCGCGGTGAACATTTCCTTGCCCTAAAACCCTCTCAGACATGAGGGGAGGCCTGTGCCCAGCGGTGGGACGTATTTAGGCTGTAACTTTACTTTTAACTTTACTTTACCACAACATCGATAAAGAAGTTTCACTTCAAAAATAAAGGAGAATTTTTTTACCACATGCCCTCAAAATAAGACTAATAAGTTAATAAATATTTCTTATTATATTATATATTTATAAATATTTATGTACACGTGTTTATTTATAAGCATAATATCTCCCCCTAAGGATGAAGACATAAAAAATAAAATAAATAGAAAAATTGGGAATCAAAATTCAAAACCAAGTTTAAAAATTAAACATTTCTTTAAAGTGTCGTCCTCTTGAATACTAAATATTTAACAGTAACGCAATAGAAACTTCAAGCAGCATGTGTGGTGGACATAGGTGTTGTGGGCCTTGTTGTGAACCATGCTGTTCGCCATGTTGCGTACCAAGCTGTGGGCCTTGTTGTCCTCATTTCCACACTTGTTGTACCAAGATTTGTTGAGCGTAATGCACAAAGACATATTCTGTGAAGCCGTCGTGTTTATGTTTTAATATATTTAATTTCATTAATAAAAATTTACACGTTTAAATAGTTGTTATCATTAAGTTTTTCATTTTATACTAGCTCGGCGCGTCGCTACACAGAAAAAAACAACTGTGGAAATAACGTTTTAAATTTGGAAGAGTTACCTATATTGTTTAATGTGGATTGATAATACATTCACTGAAGTTGAGTGATTTGTAACTTTCAAATCTATCAATCAAATCAATAAAATTCATTGATCAAAAAATTGGAATATGTATACTGTATTTATTATACCTTATGAGGTGTGCAAATACACTACAATATAGACTACACATTACTAAATCAATAATGGTGCTTTGAAATAAAGTTAAGAATAAGAAGAAAAAAAAATAAGAAAAATATTGTCAATAGTTGAGTCGAGTCTATAGTGCTAATTGTTGTCATATTAAATACCTTGATGTTATATAAACTCAAAATTAAATATTTTTGATAACACGTACAATCAAATTTAAAATGTTGTCATACAAAATTAAAAGTTAAAATTATAATTTAATATACTAATCTTATCATATTATTAAATTATTACGATGTGTCACATATATCAGGTAAATGTATAAATTACTATTGTTCAATAATAATTAAATTCAAATTATTATTATTAAGTTACAATTAAATTAAAACTATTGCTATCAAATTATAATACTTTTATCCTCTAGGTACTCTTTGACATTATAATAACTTTAATTTCTATATATTTAGATTATCGAGCCAATCATTGTAAATCACTTTTCCGTTTACTCCACAACCCTTGTCATTTTGAACTATTTTTACCGACTTCAAAAAGGAGGAGGTATTCTATATTTTATATTTTTTTTTACCTCGTAACTTTTCTCTGGGTGAACCGACTTTGATGATTCTTTTTATTCTCAAGGCTGATGCTTCTCGTGTCGTCTCATATAAATTTAATCAACATCTCTTCCCCCGTTAAAAGTTAAAAGGACGCATCCAACAAAAAGTAAATTTCGAGAAAAAAATTCTTGAAATATCAAAGCAGGAAAAAGCCTGCTCTGTAGTAGTTTTTTTTTTGTCATAGTGTTAATGTATGATATTATATTGTACACTTTTTTATTATATGCATATACGGGATTTTTAATTTTATTTGTTTTAATAAAAAAAATTGAAAAAGCGTTTTATTTTAGCACAAAAATTATACGAACCACTTCCAAACGAGTAAAAAAAGCGCAACAAGCCATACGCGGCTTTTATACTTAGCACACATATGATATTATATATTTTTAATTTATTCTTATTAATTTTGCCATTAAAAATTTAATATTAAATGAAATTTTTTCTGCAAAAATTCACCTTTATTACTAATGAAATAAGGTTATAATGATAAAATTAGTTCCATTATACCTCTCAAGTAATTATTTAGTAATGAGAGTCTCTTTATTTTATTCAATATTTATTTAAAAATTTCAAACTGAACAAGCCAACTCGGTCTGAATTTCGGTCACTGACCAGCGGTTATAAAGTTAGTAAGTACACTTAATATTTTCCAAAATTTTAATGTTTATAACAACAATCAAATATAACACGTTTTAAAATTATGAAAGGGTTCAAAAAATGTATTTGATAGACAGTTATAAAAAACGAGAACGTAAAACTTAAATTCCACTTCAAAAAACTTTTGTATTACTTAAAGTCTACACTTTGATGATATCATAGGGTTTCGGAGTATTGTTACAAGCGTAATTAAGAGTAAAATAAAACAAACATCAAAAAACCACCAATAATAACAAGAACACAAAATCACCTAAAATACACCTCAAAAAAGTTTTATGATCTTTACGGTTTTGTCACAACCGTAACGAAGTTTTAAAAACACAAAGTTTAACAAATGTAGTTTTGTGACTACTACTATAAATAACTAGACTTTAAAGAGATCTTTTAGTTTCCAAGGCATTGTCACAGCCATAAATATTTGTTTCCAAACACTAAGTAATATCCTCGGATAGTAATAATTCAACACCTTATAGTATCTGTCTTTAAGTATAAGTAAGAGAAATAAAATATAATAACACAAAATCTTCTTCTTACACTTCGTGTTCGGTGATCAAATTCACTGCATCATTATTAACCGGTAAATTATACCAAAATTCCCTTCTATTTTCAGGCATATTGGCTTTCGCGTTTATAATATAAAGTTATTAGAAATTAATAATTATATTATTTATGAAGTTATTAAATTTCACATGTTATATCGTAACAAAAAATAAGTGATATTGACTAATTTTGATAACACGTAGTAACAGTAATAACAAAAAATTCGTTACTTACTTCACCAATTTAGTGTTACTAGATATTAAAAATGACTATCCTTTATTATAAATAATATTTTAATATGTGGTAGAGCCACGCTGCAGCTATATTATGGTTGTAGCACGAATGGGTCGGCTCGACCGGGGAAGGACCACGCTCTCAAAAAATACCCGCGTAAAATAGCAGCTAAATACTGCTGTGTTTCATATGGTGAGTGTAGAGATCCGGAGAAACCTTTGGTTTTTTTTTAATTGGTTACGAGGCATTCCGTCTTAGTACTCAGGGTGAAAACGCACCTGCGTTTTGTTTTATAGTCGAGGATGAATGTAGATATCTATGGGCCACAGCATTCACTTACCATCAGGTGGACTGTGTGCTCGTTTGTCACCCTTATTCTATAAAAAAATCCACTAACATCTACCCTCTATCAAAATAAGTAGAATGAAATTCACAACTTTACTAGAAAATTAACAAAATATTATACAAAATATGTATTTTATATAATTATTCAGGACTACTAAAATAGACACAAAAATCATTAAATTTAATTACATAACTGAATAGGAGTGTAAATCGTAGGTAGTTTGATAAAATGTAATAAATATTACTGAGCTATCCGCAAGTAATTAAAACACTATACAATAATAAAATAACATTATGACGAAAACCTGACCGTTAAAATGCACAGAAAGTATTAAAACAACATTATTTACAAAATTACGATGAAAATATTCTTATCTCGTAACTATTTCGCGATCCTGGGAAATGAACGACGCGCAGTCGCTGCGTTCTCCCTCGGTAGCCGCGTAGGCGCAGGATGGATGCAGGGCTCGACCGACAGGATGTCGAACACTTTCCTCCCGCACCCTGCCACACATATGAAAATTAAATAGAAAACACTCTTCCACCATTTGCGGCTTTTCTATTAAGTATGTTAGTGACAAACTTTTCGACTCCTTAATAAAATAAGACGCATCTACACCATGTACTTAAAATGAAGGACGCATCTGGCATAATTTTGCTCAGTATAGGCATACGATAAAGTTAAAACAAAAACGTAAATGTTCAGTTACGTTTTTTTATCTTACGGCGCGAAACTCTTAAGTAGAAATGACATTTTTACTATCGTAACAACAGAGAACTCTTAATAAAATAAGACACACGTACAAAAATACGAGTACGTCTTTTATTTAAGTTTTTGTTAGATGCGTTTAACTTCTTAATAAGACCACATTCAAAAATGTAGATTCGTCTTTTTGGTTATCGGTAAATCCGAAACTAAGCAAGAAAGCTAAAATTAAAAATTATACGCAGATCCGCCTTTTTTAAGCTATTCAATTGGTTTAATGTTAATAATTTGCATTCAAATTGAACTGAAATTAAATGTATGAAATTCTT